TCCACCCACTGAGTCCCACTAGGGACTCGATACATGCCGCCGAACGACTGCGGGCCCTCCCCCCCCGGAAGGCTCGGTGTATACCTTGGTCTGGTATACTGCTCCCGCGCTCCGTCTCGGTGTTTATCGACCGCTATGAGCTCCGTTTCCGCCAGTGCTGCCTTAGCGGCGATGGTGAGTCGGACCAGGCTCACTGCGGCTGGGAACAATCCCCGGCGCAGTTCCTGTGCCGAGAATTGGGCGCCGGTGTCTGAGCAGGAAAACTTGCTCCGGAGGGCCGCCAGGAAAACTCGCCACAACAGAATACCCTCGACCGGGAGTTGTGGCTGAATCTTCTCGCATTCTTCGACCACCGCCGCGCCCCAACCCGGCGCACATAAGGCCTCCGCCATTCGCTGGGACCATTCCTGAACATCGGGCACCCGCACCGCATCGCTTGCCTTCTGACACGCGGTCGTCATTAACTGGGGAACTGTACACTTTCCCCCGAAATCTGGACTCGCCCCCGGATAGGTTCCCGCCGCAGTTCGAAAGGCTGCTGCCAGTAGGTCTGCAATTTCCTCGATAAGGGGTGTTAGTCCCCGTCGTAGCCTCGCTTCTAGTGATTTGTGTGTCCATCGCAGCGATCCTGCCCTACTCGCCAGCACAAACTGTTCCAGCGCGTCCACCAGACCGATCGCCATAAGTTCTTTGCACCGCCCCACAAAAAGTTGGCGGCCGTCCTCTGAGCCCAAGAACTCTTCGATTCTTAAAGCCACGATCGCTCCTGGGTCTGAGGCCGCGTTGGACTCCAGCGTGCCTCTGAGTGACGTGGCCTTGTCCCCGTGTTTTGCCGCCAACGTCTTGCCCAGAGCTCGCCAATCCACTTGTTGCCCGACCTGGCCCCTGGATTCAGACTGGATGTCTCTTTCCGCTTGCCTGCCGGCGGTGGATGACCCTTCAGCTCTAGCCTGTCGTATGTCCTCCGATGCCGCCCTCCTGGCCCGAGCCGTCCGCCCGGGTTGCCTATCTTCGTCGCTGCTACTCACCGATTCCCCACTGCTCGAGGAAACCGACTGCTCCGGTATTTCTCGGTCAATTTTTCTCCGCTCCCAGGGCCGCGCCTTGCGTTTTAACAGGGTGACCTTCACGGGCCCCGGCAGTCTAGCGGCTCTCCCGGGTACCTCCGTAGCCTGCGCCTGAGCATGCCTTGATTTTTTGGGGCGTCCTGCTCCCCTCACGGCCTCCATGCCTCTGGTTTCCTGATGGGCCAACCAAGGACATTCGAATCAGCCTTCGCTCCTCCTCGTACAGAGAGCTGCTAAAGCCTTCTTCCGCCGCCTAGCTGGAAAACCTTCCCAGGCGAGGGCGGTTGGTACGCCTACCGCGTTAAAATTATGGCTTTCCCACACCTTTCTCGAGCAACTACCCTTATGGTCTCCATCGGTGGGTCGACCCGTGGGTTCTATAGAGGACGGTAACGGCTTTCTACTAACTGTGACTCGTTCTGTGTCTCGTTCGTGTCAGGTACTCCGGGTCCCGTGTCTGAGACGTGTCCCTCCCCGTCTCCCTTCAACAAGGGCGCCGCCTTCTGCGATCGTTGTTGACATACTCCTACATCGCCTGTAAACCGCGAGCCATCATGGCGGGTTACTCAATAACGCTACCCCCTGCAGCCTCTTGTGAGCCGAACACCGCGGACCACCTCGGCGGTTTGCTACAATGACGATGCCTTCTGTGGTCGCTGTCTACAAGTTCCCCTGCCAAACACCTTCGGTTCGGCGTGCCGCCACGGTAGACTTCGTGATCGCGTTGCCTTCCACAGCCGCTTGTCATGTTTTTTTTTTTTTTTTAAAGACTATCCCAGCCGTTTTCTCCAAGCGCACCGCCTTTCGCGTTCACTGTTTGTATCCTCCTAGGTCACGACGCCTCCCTCTCGGTGTGCCGCCGCGGCGGGCTTCCTACGTGCACTGCCTTCCGCGGCCGTTTGTCATGCATTCGTGCCTCTCTCGTAGCGGACCGCCGCAGCTGCTTTTCGACGAGTGCCCCACCTTCCGCGGTCGCTGTCTATATGCTCCTAAATCAACACCTTAATTTCGGTGTGCCGCCGCGGCGGGCTTCCTAAGCGCACTGCCGTCCGCAGCCGCTTGTCAAGCATTCATGCCTCCCTTAGCGGGCCGCCGCAGCGGGTTTTCTACAAGCGCCCCGCCTTCCGCGGTCGCTGTCTATATGCTCCATAATCAAAGCCTGAAGTTCGGCGTGCCGCCGCGGCGAGCTTCCTACGTGCACTGCCTTCTGCGGCCGCTTGTCATGCATTCGTGCCTCCCTTAGCGGACCGCCGCAGCGGCTTTTCTACAAGCACCCCGCCTTCCGTGGTCGCTGTCTATATGCTCCATAATCAAAGCCTTAAGTTCGACGTGCCGCCGCGGCGAGCTTCCTACGTGCACTGCCTTCCGCGGCCGCTTGTCATGCATTGTGCCTCCCTTAGCGGACCGCCGCAGCGGCTTTTCTACAGGGGCCCGCCTTCCGTGGTCGCTGTCTATATGCTCCATAATCAAAGCCTTAAGTTCGACGTGCCGCCGCGGCGAGCTTCCTATGTGCACTGCCTTCTGCAGCCGCTTGTCATGCATTCGTGCCTCCCTTAGCGGGCCGCCGCAGCGGCTTTCCTACAAGGGGCCCGCCTTCCGTGGTCGCTGTCTATATGCTCCATAATCAAAGCCTTAAGTTCGACGTGCCGCCGCGGCGAGCTTCCTACGCGCACTGCCTGCCGCGGCCGCTTGTCATGCATTCGTGCCTCCCTTAGCGGACCGCCGCAGCGGCTTTCCTACAAGCGCCCCGCCTTCCGTGGTCGCTGTCTATATGCTCCATAATCAAAGCCTTAAGTTCGACGTGCCGCCGTGGCGAGCTTCCTACGCGCACTGCCTGCCGCGGCCGCTTGTCATGCATTCGTGCCTCCCTTAGCGGACCGCCGCAGCGGCTTTCCTACAAGCGCCCCGCCTTCCGCGGTCGCTGTCTATATGCTCCATAATCAAAGCCTTAAGTTCGACGTGCTGCCGTGGTGAGCTTCCTACGCGCACTGCCTTCCGCGGCCGCTTGTCATGCATTCGTGCCTCCCTTAGCGGACCGTCGCAGCGGCTTTTCTACAAGCACCCCGCCTTCCGTGGTCGCTGTCTATATGCTCCTAACCAAAGCTTAAGTTCGACGTGCCGCCGCGGCGAGCTTCCTATGTGCACTGCCTTCTGCAGCCGCTTGTCATGCATTCGTGCCTCTCTTAGCAGACCGCCACAGCGGCTTTTCTACAAGCGCCCCGCCTTCCGCGGTCGCTGTCTATATGCTCCTAAGTCAACGCCTTCAGTTTGGCATGCCGCCACAGCGGGCCTCCTACGCGCACTGCCTTCCGCAGCCGCTTGTCATGCATTTGTGCCGCACTTAGCGGACCGCCACAGCGGCTTTTCTACCAGCGCCCCGCCTTCCGCGGTCGCTGTCTATATGCTCCTAAATCAACACCTTAATTTCGGCGTGCCGCCGCGGCGGGCTTCCTACGCGCACTGCCTTCCGCAGCCGCTTGTCATGCATTTGTGCCGCACTTAGTGGACCGCCGCAGCGGCTTTTCTACAAGCGCCCCGCCTTCCGCGGTCGCTGTCTATATGCTCCTAAGTCAACGCCTTAATTTCGGCGTGCCGCCGCGGCGGGCTTCCTACGCGCACTGCCTTCCGCAGCCGCTTGTCATGCATTTGTGCCGCACTTAGTGGACCGCCGCAGCGGCTTTTCTACAAGCGCCCCGCCTTCCGCGGTCGCTGTCTATATGCTCCTAAGTCAATGCCTTCAGTTTGGCGTGCCGCCGCGGCGGGCTTCCTACGCGCACTGCCTTCCGCAGCCGCTTGTCATGCATTTGTGCCGCACTTAGCGGACCGCCGCAGCGGCTTTATGATGTAGCTGTAGCCCGTCCGCGCGTCCGAAGACTCCGGGTCAGTCCACGAGTCTTGACCTCGACTTTCGTATGCTTGCAGACTTCTTGAAGCCATCCTGTCGGCCTGTTTTGCTCTTTGTCCTTTACGCATTCACACGTTGGGTATCTGTTCTGTTGGTAGGTATCCTTCACCGGGCTGTCCGGCGACTCGCGAGGATAACAGGGTAAATCCGGCGAACTCAAGGCAAAGAACGCCAACCAAGTCACTCGCGACCATTGCCAACCAAGAGCTGCTCTCGGCAAAACGGGCTCCTAGCTGAAGCCTAGCCAACTGTGGGAGGCCGAAATAACACTCCCTTTCCTACTAACCGACGGACCTCGCGAACCCAATTAGAATTCACCCCACCCACCGACAAGCAACAGGACCCACTATTCAGGAGCCTCCACTCAAGGCCGAACCAACCCAACCACCCGCGCGGGGTTCGCGCGCTTCACTTACTTGCATGGATGTCGTCGTCCCGCAATGTTGATCCGCGCGCCGCCGTTGTTGTTGTCAGCTCATATATATAAGAGACGGCGTCCTATTGTAGGCAAAACAAAAGATAAAGGCAATCTAAGATCGCTCGTCAAGCGACTTGCGACCTCGACTTTTTCTAGTCTTTCTCGTCGTCTATTTTCTGTAATCCGTCTTAATAAAGCTTAGTTGGTACCTGTTGTCTGACTCTGCATTCTGTGCTGGAATGGCCAAAACTCGGACTGTCTCGTCCTGGTGTGATATCCGTGGTTGGCATAGGGCCCTCCGTACTTCTGTATTTGGCATTTCTGGCCGATCATTGGCGAGCGCAATAATGAGCGGTAGCAATAAGTTGATGAAAATATTCTATGTTATGATAAGCCCGGAGTTCCTTTCTAGGCTTTGCACTGGGCCCTTGGGTGGCACTTGCATGAAACGACAACTGCGGTCGCGTCTTCTGTCCTCAGCTCAGCTTATATCAACAATATCATAGGGAAAATCAGAGTCAGAGAATAGGCTAGTTTACACAAGCACATGGCCGGCTGCATCAACGGTTACCCCGGCCGTCTTCCTCCTCCCTTCCACCTCCCTTCCACCTCCCTTCCACCTCCCTTCCTCCCTTTGTTGAACTATGTGGCGATTGCAACGCAACTCACAAGCGCAGAAATGTTACTGATTTAACTACATTATGTGCATTTCAATGGAATAGTTACCATCCTGGAGCCAGTCCAAGGGTGAAGGATAGTTGCCCCGAGAGTTTTGGCTCTGCCCCTTTGGACGCTCGCGTTTTGTACTTCCATATCGCTTACGTAAAAATGGCTTCCACACACCCTCGTGGTGCCCAGATTTCTGGGGGAGCCATGGCCTCCTCACCAAGTGGGAAAACAAGTATGGAACGCAGTACTAGCCTTGAGCAGCAAGCGAAGTTGCAGTCACAACCTACGACCCTCAAAATGCCATCGCGCAAGCGGGCTGACCTGTTTGATTCGGAGGATTTCGACCCTACCAAGCTCATCAACCAGCTCTACCCTGATGGTGCGCAATTCCCTTTCACAAGCTCTGAAGCTGGGATCAAACATCCATTCTGGGTGCGCTAGGTTCAGATGCAATTCTCTTTGTTGCCGACGTTCGTGCAGAGGCGAGCCTGACCGATCTTGACAAGTTCGTCACGGTCCTTAAAAATCAGGTACGCATTGCGAAGTATCTTGTTTGGCAATCGCTAACATTTACTTTACTATGTCCTCTCCACGATTCTAACTGCCAACAGATTCAGCATTTGGACCAGGAAATTTTCAACGCAGTTCGATCGCAGGGTGGCGCGCATGCCCGTGCGAGGTAAATTGCGTTGCGCTGCTTCTGTAGGCCCCGGGGGTGGGGGGAAATGGATCATGGTGGAAAGGGGAGAGGTCGTGGAGGGAACGGAAGGGGGAGGAGGAAGGAAAGCGACACCCCAACCACCGCTTGTGTACGCACCGCGCATTGCCTCTCCGTACGTTTGGGCTGTACTACAACCCACATATATTCATAATGCTGAATTTGGGTCATCCGGGTCATCATCAACTGATTTTTATGTGCCGTACACCCCGCCCATGCCCGGAACTCGCAGGTACATGCCCCCTGTCCTCACACCCCCCACCGTTGTGTTGTGAGGACATCATCTACCAACATAAACGTACTCTACTCCACCATGCGCTCTTGTTTGCGCCTCTCGGCTCAGTTTATCAATATACATACATACCTACATAACATACATACAGTGGGCCACCCGCCACCCCCCTTTTGTCCGCCCCAACCCCAACCCCCCAACCCCACACACACCC